AAAACATCAGAATTTTAGATGTCGTGTTCATTAGGAGGCTATACCCAACAATCGGTTTATCTCTGCTTTTTAAATTATTAAAATTAATTAACTGATCTTTAATGTTGCAACAATGTCGGCCAAACCTTTCCAGCTAAGCTACGGAAAAGTCTCATAAATTAGGATAACAGTGGAATTTCAATTGACCAAACTGTCACCATAGCTTGCATTAGAAGAAAGTAACATAAAATCACTATACGAAGACATATGCGAATAGATGATTGTTATACTACATTATCCAAGACTGATATGTAATTATAGGCCGTGATAAACTATGATAAACCATTGCCAAATTTGAAACAAGATACAGAAAATATGGATATGGAGTTGAGATGGATAATTGGCATAGAAAAACCAGCTGAACAGAAAATTCTAAAACGATCTAAATCTCTGACTACTGCTTGATCTAACACTTGGCTCAAATTCGAATTGCTGATTTAGAAGTATCATTTTATATTTTATATCAAAGACTAGAAACATTTTTTTTTAAATAGCTATTGCAAAATAATCTTTGTAACAACAATAAAGTGTTTTCTTACACCTTCGGTAGTCATCATAATAAAGATGTAATGTGAATGCATATGTAAAATAATGAGGTTATCTGAGAATTGAATTGCATCAATGTTCTCCTCTTAATTATCTGTGATTGAATAATGAATATAAATATCATTGTTTCAGTATTCAATGTTTACAACAATCATAACCGTTTCGTTTTCTAAATAAATAATAAATAATGTAACTATCGAATTTTATTAGACATATTATTAAGTTAGTATTTATATATAATAACTGGCTACAATATAAAATAAAATTGCAATATGCAAATACAGTGTAATTACCGTATCATAATTATTTTATTGGGTGTGAATACATTACTATACTAATAATTAAAGCTGGAATTGAAATATGGACTTGTCCACCTAAGGAAATTCTTTGATACATAACTGCATATAAATTAGCAAAATTATAAGAAAAACCGGTTAGATTATTTACGTAATTTAATTTAATGATATGCATTAAATAAACTTTTCTATCAGAAAATATTTTGGTAAAATATTAATATATACACATAATTTTTTTTTCAACTTATCGAACGTCTCAGAAGTAAGTTTTAATTAAGTAAACATTAAAAAAGAGATTGTATAATCAATAAATTATATTTACAAAGTATCAATATATCACAAATATTATTTTTTTCATTTCAGTTATCCTATCTAATTGGATTCTCATGTGAATTATCATGGATATTGGAATCACCAAACACTCTGCCAGTGGCGTCGCACATTTTGTGTGCGGGGGAGTTATTAGTTTTCATTGCCTGTACTGCATTAGTTTACGGACTCGCAACGGTAAAATAAATATAATAATAGTATTTTCAAAAAATATATCAATTATTCTTATGAAAATACTATTTTTTATAATTTTAGGGTACGCATTTAGGAGCTGTGATTTGGGCATCTGTCCTAATTGTATTTATGGTTCCTGAACTAACTTTAGTTATATATACAGTAACTCATCATTGGGTAAGTTAAAAAAAAATAAAAAAAACATTACGTTTAAATCATGTTCAGCGTAAAATAGAAAGAATATAATAGTATTCTTAAATAAAATGGTTATTAATTTGCTTAAATGAGCATATTTTACGAACAAAAAACAATGTGATGCAAGGACCTTTTTAATGAGCGAGAAAACGTCTTTAAGAGATTTGTTATTAATATATATTTTATTTTTATGAGATATAACAATTTAACATTTTTTATGTCTAATTTTGATGTTGTTTTCGTTCCAGGGCCTTCAATCCAACCATGGTCAAACCGAATTAATAGGATATTTAATTCGTTTGCTTTTTGATAGTGTAGCATTACTCTGTGTCATTCCATTAATTTTAAGGTAATATATTAGTAAAATAATTTCTAATATTAGAGTACATCTTATTTAATGCATTATTTTTAGACAATTTTACTTGAGATCATAGATCTCAAATATGATCCCATGTGAAAATAGGGGGAATTGGTGCAACATATATACACCTCATATTAGATAGAAAGCAGAATAGTTAACCCCTGGGTTGCTTAGTAGAAAAATACTAGGTTTTAAGAAATATACGACAAAAACACCTTACAGTGCAAAGCACACTATTGAAATTTACATCATATATATTTTTAAAAATCTGGTCAAAAGCTTTCAATTTGAACTGCGTACGAAACTATTATTACGTATTATTTTTTTTTCTTTCTAGATGGCGAGAGGAACAAAGAGTATTATCCCAATTAGAAATGCTGACTTCTCGTTCGCATTTATCTGCAGCCCACAGCCCACGCTTGACCCAGTCAACCAGGAGCAGTATCCGGTCAGTAGTCAGCAATGCGAGCAATGGTCGCCAACATAAAAAATTAAATGGAACGAAAAATAACGCATACGTAAACGATGAACTGGATAAGTAATAATTATGTGAATTTTATTGTTATTTCATTAAGAACATGTGTCTAAATAATATGATTAATTTTAGCTGTAGTGTTAAAAGTGGAATCTACGACAGCCAAAGTGAGTTCGATGCTAGTTTGTTTTCACCAACTGCTTTATATGATCAACATAACGCGATGTATGGTAAGAAACATAATTTTAAAATATAACTGATGGCAATATATTATAAAATTCCATTTCGGATAAATTTCGTCTGACAAGATCATAAGGAAAAAGACCTACTGAAAAATATCAATGAAAAAAGAGTGGAAAATGAGGAAAGATCATATTTAAGTTATATGAATTAACTACTCTTTCCCCCTGTTATAAGTTTTCTCACGAATTTGAAATGAAAAAAAGGCTACAGAAATATTAGCCATCACAGCATAACTTAAATTTCTTTTTTCGCACATTTGTCTATCAATATGGTCGACTGTTTATAAATTATAATTTTTATATTTTTAACTTCCCGTAGGGTAAGTTATAGTAATCGCAAAAAAATCGAAAATGAAAATTTTTGCATATCTATACGTTTCAAAGGTTTCTGAACAATTTGGCATATTTCAGAAAAAATAGATGTGTGTGTTTGTATGTATGTTTGGATACAATTTTGCGTCCACGATTTCGGGCGCTTGTATCAACCGATTTGAATGTTTAAAAAAACATTCGATTCCTACTGATGAGTAGACGTGCTGATTAGTTTTTAGCAAAGGCATGTCGAAGAGACGGGGCAAAAAGTGCTAAAAATGGTAATTGATTTTTTAAAAGAACGGAACATCCGATTTGTATGATTGAAAAAACATTTTATTTGTATTGACGAAATGAAGAATTGATGAAATTTATGAGATCCAATAAAAAAAGTGAAAAATATGCCATTTGGCGGACAAAAATGTTCGCCAAAATGTTGCATATGTCTATATGCACATCAAATCACATATTTTAATAATAATAACAAATTTTGTTCACTTTTCTATGGGTTTCGTACCAATATCTATGCGTTTCGACGCAACTAACGTTTTGCAATTGCTTTGAAAAAAAGTTCAAAATTTCCAAACTATTTCAAAGTATAAAAAAAACAAATTTTCAAAAAGGTCATTTTTCTTCAAAAAATTTTAAAAATCGAGTTCTAGAAGAAAATTGAATCTTTTTCGAAAATTTTAATTTTTGGTACGGGAAGTTCCAGCAATTTGTTTTAAAGCACGATGCCATGCACCACTAGTTATGAATTGTGATCACAACGTATTTTCTAGGAAAACGAGCGCAATCACTAATGGACTTGCGTGCTGTAAACCCACCAGAACATTTACTCCGCAAACCATCAGACTCCAATTTCATAGCAGCTATGAAACAGTACTGGCTTGCCAACACATTGAAACAAGACGGCCTGGACGATTCCAATTTATTGTTCGACAAGAAATTTAATTATTACTATAAACAGAACAATAACAAAAACAAAGAACCACTAGAAAATTTTCCCCCGCAGCGAAAAAGTCAGTCATTAGTGGATTTAAATAACGCCTCGAAAAATGAAGTGTATAAAAATAATTTGTTTAGATACGAAATGAAACCTAATAACATGTATTTAGGTGTGCCACCGAATGTCTATAATATGCCGATGGGATATCCTATTTATCCCATGCCAGGATTTTACATGCCACACATGAGATCTGTTGCTGATAATGGACAAGGAAGTTATTATTATACCAGCAGCAATAATGTTTGCTATATACCACCAGATGTTTTAGGATCCAATAGAAATAGTAGATTATCCTTAGGATCAGATGATTTCACAAAATACCGTGATGTAGCTTTATGATAACTGTACGAAATACAGATAATAAGATTCTGGTCTGCTCTATCAGCCAAAGTTATTTCTATAATACAATAAATGTCAATAAGTAATGTTGCATTTAATTTAATAGTACTACGTATATAAGCCACGTATTAAAGCGACTCTATCTCGGATTTTTAACTGTAATTAAAAGTATGAAACAAAAAGTTAAAACGTAAGTATTATAAACAGTGCATGTGCCAATAACATGTTTTATTAACTTTTATGTATAATATGTAAGCCATATATTATGATATTTATAAGCTTGTATAACATGTATATATATATATATATATATATATATATATATATATACATATGCATACAAGCTTGTTAATATATGTACAATGAATTTTTCTATATTATGCAATATAGTTCACATAGGAATGTTATAACAATATATAATTTTATGTACATATCTAAATATATATGTGATTATTTTATATACAAAATATGATAAAATTCTGTTTTTATTTATATCTCTGACACATATGGTAAGAAATATATAATGTTTTTATATCTTATATTTATTGAATAATTACTTCAATATTACGTAACTGCAATTCTGATAATGTGGATTATTTATGAAAATATTTGCAATATGTGTGTGATATGATTTTATTATTATTTTCATTTAATTTTATGAAATAATAAGCAAATAAACAAGCTATGAATATTTTCCAGTCGATACTTTGAATAAATCATCATCGTCATCACTGTCACCGAATAATGATGCAGATTTTGGTACACTTGATTTTTTGCTGTTGCTTAAAACTTTATCCGTTGAACTCTTAGATACTTTGATTGTTTTTACTTTGAATAAATCTTCATCGTCTTCAGTATCACTGAAAAGATTATCTGTTTTACGATTTTTTCTGAGTATTATATTGGACCTTGGTAAACCAGCAAACAGATCATCTGCCCCAACAGAATTCAACAGCGGCGACCTGGGTTTGACATCACCTCTTTGAGAAACATTTTGAGCATTTTTACTAATGAACATAGGTTTAGCAGTGAATAAATCTTCTTCTAAATCCGAATCAAATAGAATATCTTTGCTCGTTTTACCCACTTGCGCAGCATGTAAAACTTCAGCAGAGCCATCAATTGCTAGTGTCGAAAGTTTATCTTCTAAATCATTGTTACTACTGGCAGCAGCTCCAAAAAGATCATTTTCTACTGATTCTTGTGCACTCAAGCTAGAATTATTTTTAAGGTCTGTAATATTTGTTTCTGAATGTTTCTGAGATATGCTTCCTGCTATGTTAGTATTTTCAGGAACCGGTTTCAAACCTACACCTGAATTAATATCTAAATCAACTGGTATAAATAAAGAATCAGTTTTGAGTATATTCTCATCAATCGCGTCCATATTTGGTTTTGACTCAGTATTTCGTGTAAGAGCTTCGAGAAGATTAAATTCTTTCTGCCTTTTTATGTCATCAGTTTTTGATACTTCTGCTTTATTTTCTGAATCATGGGTCAAGTCATCTACATCATCATCGGAATCATTAAAAATACTGTTATATTCATCTACCTTCAATGTATCGTCGTCAGCTATTTTATCTATTTTAAAAATATCATCCTCTTCAGTTGACGGCGACAAAATATCAGTTCCGTCTTTAATATTGCTACCTGATTCCGAATGATCACTAGATATAGCTTGAGATTTAGATTTGCTTAAACTATTAGAGTTTTCGCTTTTGAATGGTCGGTTAAATCTTCCTTGAAACTTGATTTTGAACTATTATCATTTATACGGGGTTGTCCTGATGAAGAATTTATAACACTGGATAATTCGTTAGTTAATTTATTTGCACTTTTTATATGTGAATTTTTGCTTATTAGTGATTTTTCATTTTCGTCCATGCTTTTAGCGAAGTCACGAGGTATGTTTTGTTCTGTAGACACAGACTCGATTTCTGAATCGGAATTTTCCAAAACTAAAGATTTTCGAGCTGCTTCTTGTCGCGCACGTCTGCTGGGCGGTCGCCTTTTCTGGGGTATCCTGACACGTTCCTGAAAATTTGATTTTAAATCGTACACTGGGAATAATATCAATTTACTTCTACCACTTTTGATATATAATATATCTTCTTCAATATCATTTATATCATGTCATTAATTTTAAAACATCAAACATAAAGCACACGAAGTTTTCTTCCATTAACCACGAATAATTAAAAATCCTAATCCACTATATAGTCAATACTTTGCACAAATTAATAATCTGATAATAACAAAAATATCTTCCTATTACAGATAAATATAAAACGAATCCATTTATGTAGCAAACAACTAAATAAAGTATTGTGTAAGCAAGGTAGATTTGATCGTCAGGTATGATTATATCTGAATTAAATACTGTATAATTATTATTAATAAAACTTATAGACTTATAAACAAATTAACATGTACATGCAAAATTAATACTTATGGAATTTCTAAATCTTACCTTGACTGCTGAATTCTGCAAGGTTTCGGTTTGAGAAATAAAATCACCATTCCTTTCTTTCTGATCGCTATCAATTTTTCGATTCGAAATTTCTTTATAATTATGAATTAGATCATCTCCTCTACTGTCAACGGCAATTTTTTTTGATAAATTTACATCGTGTTCCGGAATGGGCGTTACAGATTTAGAATCCGACTGGTCAGTATCTGGTATTCCATGTTTTTTGGACAGCGACGGGGGCCTCGCTCCCGGAAGTAACGCTGACACATTAATGTTGAAATTTGACAAATTTGATAATTTTTTTGGTTCATTTGTTTTAGGTAAAAGTGATGTGATTTTGATATCGTTTGCATTTTCATTTTTAACTTCTTTAACTTGATTTGAGTCATCGTTTTTGTCTATCAGTTTCTGATCAAACTTATTTGCAACATTTGAAACAGAAGCAAACAATTTATCATCATTTTTATTGGTATTTACATAGGATTTTTTAATTTTTGTTTAAAGTCAATATCATCAGGAGGTTCATTGTCAAACAAACCAATTCCGAATGGTTCTTTAGTTCCAATATTGTTAACTGTTTTAGAAAGATCTTGGAAAAAATCAGGCTCATCCTCATCATCATCAAATAAGGTAATTCTTTTACTGTTGTCAGATTTTTTTGAGTTTGTCAGGTCTTCAAAGATATCAATTGGAGGTTCATCACCGAATAAAGCTATATTTGATGCAGCTTGTTCGTACAAAGATTTTTCCCTTTGCTCTTTGACTAATTCATCATTATATTTGAGTTTCCCAATTCTTGTTTCTCCTTGATTGCTTTAGTACTACTTTCAACAATACTTGTTGTAAACTTGTTACTTCACATTAGTTTTTCAGAATTATTATGGTCTTGAATCCCTATATATAGGGTCCCTCAATATATACCAACAATTTTTGTTTTAATATTTGGTGTTCGATTTGAACTTGCATTAGTTTTAACATGGTCAACAAGTTTATTATTCTGATGTAATAAGTTTTCCGGTTCAGCAAACAAATCAGTTTTTTGATGGCTTGCATTAGAACTCAATGTGTTTTTAACATCATCATTTGAAGATTTTGATATTACAGTTTTAGTTGATCCTATTTTAAATAAGTCATCATCATCACTCAAATCACTTGTTGATTCCTCAAACAATTTTGGGCTTTTAGAAATTGCTTCAGATGTTGGCGGTGCTTTAATACTTTCTTGTTCCACATCTGTGGTATTTGGAATCATAGTTTTGCTTTGTGCTTGAGAATCTATCAACTTATTTTCTGATCCTGAACTTTGGAATAATTTTTTATCCTCCGATTTTGAAACAATATTAATAGATTTTGGAGGTGCAAGTTTAGGCTTCACTTGGAATAAATCATCATCATCTTCACTTTCATTAAAAATATCAGTAATGGGGTTTGCAGCTGCCCTATTTGTATCTGCAAATTTTACATTAAGATCACTATTTGATTTTGCTTCTACTGGTGAGCTATGCAATTTATTCAACACTTTGTTATCAGTTACAATATCATGTTTGTTTTCATTAATATAGGATTCTCCTTGCTTTCTGATGTATTGCTTTCAACACCTTTTGCAACATTACTGATTTCAGCCTGATTGAATATGCTTTCATTCTTTCATTCTCAAGTACAATATTTCTATTTTTACCAAAATATCATTATTTTCTTCAGTTTGGTTAGTTTTGCTTACATTTATTACAGGTTTCGTAGAAAATAAGTCATCATCGTCTTCAAATAGCTCATTAATTTTGGATTTTTGCTTAGAATCCAATTTAGTACTTGGATCAATTTTATTTGAAGATGCTTCAAAGGCAATATTTTTTATTTCACTTTTAGGAGTTATTGTAGGATTTACTTGTACTTTTGATTTTGATTTATCTGAACTATCATTTTTAATTAAACTATCAAATATATCATCATCATCTGAATCACTAAATAAGCTAAATTTCTTATCAATGCTAAATGATTTATTTTTCTTGTTTTCATCCTTTGCACTTGTTGAACTGGCTTCAAAATCTATAGGTGGCTCATCATCAAACAATTTAAATGTTATTTGTTTCGAGGTTTCACTAAGCAATGAATTTTTGTTAAACAAGTTGGTGTCAAATTTGATTTCATCTTCATCATCCTCAAATAAGTTATTCTTTTGTAGTGTTTTAATATTAGTTCCCTTGGGGGTGATATTATTGGAAGTATTTTCAGAATCCAATATATCATCTTCCACATCAGTCTTAATATTTTCTATTTGCTTCTTTATCGCTCCCTTTAATTTAGAATTTATAATTTCAGGAGGTTTGTCAGAGAATATGCCTACTGTGTCCTCTGACTTGTAAGTATTTGCTTTAACCTGATTCTTATGACTACTTGTTACAGTAGCAAACAGGTCATCTTCTGAATCATCATCAAATAAATTTGTAACTTTTGGAATATTTTGAGCAGTTTTTAGATCATCAATTTCAGGAGGTTCCTCATCAAATAAATTAACAGCTTGAGATTTGTTTTCATTTTGTCCATGAAAAATAATGGAAGTCTTATTTGCTATATTTTTAACTTTTGATTTATCGTCAAACAATTCATCGCTATTTTCATCATCATCATCAAATAAGTCATTCTTTTTAGGTTTATCAGCCTCATATAAATCTTCCAATAATGGCGGGCCATCATTAAATAAAATTGGATAACTATGTCTAGGTGTAGGAAATTGTTCCCTTTTATTTTTTGTATTATCTATATCAGATGAGGTTTTGTTATTAGGAGATTTGTGTTGCTCAACAGAATTTTCAAATATTTTATCATCTTCTTCTTCACTTGAATGCCCCAAAATGCTACTATTACCTGTAATTTTATAATTTTATGATTAATTTAATTTATAAAGGCAATTTAATCTAGAGTTCAAATTAATAAAATCTCTTTAATAATGTTTGAATAAATGATCATAAAACGGTTTTGGCTGTGTAATAACCATGCAATTTACTTTATATCACATGCTTAAATCAAAATTCAGTATTGCAAAATTTTTATCTACAATATTTTAAGTTGTGAAATAAATAATTTAGGCTAATAGGATAAAAGTAATATACACCTTTAGTAATACTGGATATATCATATTTTTGAACACTTGGATTTGTAAGTGAAGGAGAATAACTTTTAGATTGTGATGATGCAATAGATGGACTTCTTGATCTACTAGAACCGAAACCCCCTTCGCTTTCCGATTCGCTTGGATTTAAACTTGCTAAAAATTCTTTTGAACCAATCCTTAGTGGCAATGGTCTACTCATATATCTGTCTTTGGGAACATATTTAAATCTAAAAGTAATAAATTTAGTGTTATTAATATGTAATAAACATATATGCTGCTGTTAGTAATTCATAATTTATTATTATAATATCAAAAATAACTGTACCTTGGTTGTTCTGAATTGTTTGCACCAATTTGCACCTTCATATATTCATTTTCCATTAACTTTAAACCGCACATCACAGCTTGTTTCGCTATAACTCCTGGATCAATCTTTGACTAAAAACAATAATAAATAATTTCTAATGTTGATACAAATTAAATTATATATATATATTATCTTACATCTTGTAGTACTTTTTCCTCTTTAGGACAAGTATCGGCTTGAATGTCTTCTTCATATACTCTACTTTCAACAAACTGTGAATGTTGTAGTGCATGAAATCTGAAAATAAATACCACTTTTTGTCTCTGATAGCCCTGATGGAAGTATACAATAACGTTATTTCACAGTACAAATTGAGTACAACTCAATTGTGAAATGATGTAATTGAACACATTATCTCTCAATTTTAATAAAAAGCTTTTAACACATATAAAATATGTGCTTAAAAGCTATGATGTTTCCATATTTCAAAATACCTGTTAGTAGAATTAGCCAAAGAAATCTGTGTATACTCTAAAGTGCTAACCATGGAATCTAATTTTGCTTTAGTTGTTTTACTTT